TTTGGGGATTTAACATTGGAATTCAGAGCCTAACAAAAAAAGAATCCTATTGAACACCACAGATTCTAAACATTCCCATCAAAAAATTTTACTACAGATGAACCAGAAAATTATCAGACCTCACAAAAACTGAACATTAATTTTGATTTAGTTTAATATTAATTAGAGAAATATATATTCAAATAGAAAATAAGTATAAATAACAGAAAGACAATTCATTAAATATTACCATCATATTTTGAATTATACTATTACCACCTAAATTAAATAAAACATAGAATGTAAATTTTATGTGTATATCAACTTGGCCAAATTGATGAATTATCCAAATTTTGAACAGAGGTTACTCCATAAAAAGTACACAATATGAGAGAGGAGTGGAAAATCACTCAAAATATTTTATAATCTAATGAATCACACACAGATTTGCTGGGTATTAAATCTGAAAGGAGAATATTCAAGTTAACCAGATGATAATACGGAACTTAGATGCATGACTGTTACTCAAAATTCTATAGTTCTATTTCTCCATTTGACTGAGAAAACACTGAATAAAGGGGTAAGCAAAGTATCTAGCACATACTGATGGCTATCCTCTTACATTTTTTTTTCTTCAAACCAAGATTTAAAAAATGAAATAAATAGCTAACTAGGAAAAAGAAAGAATAGAAGGGATCATTATCCTGTCCCTGGAGCCCATGAATATTACTGATTCAAAGAAAGAAATATTTGATAGAATGATTTAATTTAATAATGTCTAGGTGTTTAAATAGAGTCATGGTGTGGCACTCTAGGATAAGCACTGAACTGCAAGGTAGATTTGAACCACAAGGTCAGTGGTTCAAAATCACCAGCCACTCCTCAGAAACCCTATATAGGGTCACTATGTGCTGTAACTAACTCAACAGCACTTAACAACAATAAAGATATTCAAACATATATTTATTGGTTTTAAGTACAACATTTTTGTTGTTAAGTACCTTGGAGTCAGTTCTGACTCATAACAACCAGTCAGCAGTCCAGTGCTTATCCTACAGTGCCACACCAGGAGTCCTTAAGTACAGTATATATACTAAAAAATATAATATAGAGACGTAAGGTTCACAAATTGTCACAACATATATACAAGTAATCATGGCGCTGTGGGTTAATGCATATTTTCGAACTATTGCTCATTCCTCTTTGTTTCAAACCTTTGCATTCCAATCACCAGTAATTAATAATACATCTTGATTACATGTTTGATCAATTTCAAAGAAGTTGGTAGAATTCTTCAATGTCATCATCACT